CATTGTCTCGGGCCCATCCCCTCCGGGGTAGCTGGTGTTGGCCGCTGTCGGCAGACAGGCTACTGGGCTGGATGGACGTTTGGTCTGACCCAGTACGGCCGTTCTTATGTTCTAAGCTCAGAGTCGGGGGTCTCACTGGACCAACTTGATTGTCATGGAAACCTGCTCCTGGGTTCGCATGTGGCCTTTGGTGGCCAGGCTGGCAGCTATCCTGCCCTAGATGGCCACTTTCCTGTGCCTAGTGCGGAGATTGTGGACCTTGGAGGCCTCCCCTCCAAACCAGGATGAAGTCCACGGTCTCCGCACTAGACAAGACGGGCACCCACCTCTTGCAGCCCTGGGCAAGCTCCTGGGAGCCGTCAGCCTGGTCCTGGGAAGAGGTGGAGGGCTGGGTGGCAGCAGGTGGCTGGCTCATGCCATGCCAGGTGCAGGGTCTGCTGGCTGGGTGCTGGCAGGCTTGCACCTGGCACGGGCACCATAGCCAGACCGTGGCCCTTTAAGGACTCTGGGGATAGGAGGGGGGCAGAAGAGTTTCCCTGGTTGTGCCCAGAGTGGCCATCAGGGCAAGCTGGGGAGGGCTAGACTCCCATTAGTTCGAATTAAGTGGCTACACAGTCCTTAATTCAAACTACTTAATTCGAACTAGGCGCTAGTCCTCGAAGAATGAGGTTCACCTAGTTCGAATTAAATGCTCCGCTAATTCGAATTAAGTTCGAACTAGCGGTTTGTATGTTTAGCGCCTATTAAAGTTAATTTGAACTAATGGCTGTTAGTTCGAATTAGCTTTGTAGTGTAGACATACCCTCAGTGAGTAGCCAGACATGTGGTATCTACCCACATTGCCTTCACATCATTACTGTCAATAGCTTTTATATGTGAAGTTCAAATATTAAACAAATTACAGGCTTGATTGTGACTTTAGGCCGGAGTAGGCAATAATTTTAGATGTGGGGTCACTTCACTAATTTTTAAGTTGGCCCTGGGCTGCCCTGGAAGGAGCAGGACCTCTGGTGGAAGGGGTTTTTAGCGCCTATTAAAGTTAATTTGAACTAATGGCTGTTAGTTCGAATTAGCTTTGTAGTGTAGACATACCCTCAGTGAGTAGCCAGACATGTGGTATCTACCCACATTGCCTTCACATCATTACTGTCAATAGCTTTTATATGTGAAGTTCAAATATTAAACAAATTACAGGCTTGATTGTGACTTTAGGCCGGAGTAGGCAATAATTTTAGATGTGGGGTCACTTCACTAATTTTTAAGTTGGCCCTGGGCTGCCCTGGAAGGAGCAGGACCTCTGGTGGAAGGGGTTGGGTCAGGACACTTCCATGCTCCCCCTCCCACAGACACTGATTAGCCTGGAGGTAGGGGACCACGTGAACTCTTTGCTCTCACACTTTCCCCACCTAGAGAGAACTGCCAGCTGTTCAGCGCTGGCAGTTTCCTCTAGGCACTCGGCCCCTGGAAGGACAGAAGGAGACTTCACAAGCTTCCCCCAACCACAGGCCAATCAGGGCCTGAGGGTGGGAGGAGTGCGCATAGTGTCTCGCTCCCTGTCTCCACCCTGCAAGGGGTATGTGGTACTTAGTATGAAAGTGCTATGCACCCCTTGCAGGGCAGGAGGAGACCTCACATGCTTCCTGCCCCGCCCAACAAGGAGCACACGGCGCTTTCACTCTAAGTACCTTGTGCCCCTTCAAGGGCAGAAGGAGACTTCGCATGCTCCCTCATCCCCAGACCAGTCAGGGCCTGGGGGTTGAAGGAGTGCACAAAGTCTCTTGCTCCCTGCCCTTACCCTGCAAGGGGCATGTGGTTCTTGCAGGGTGGGGGCAGGGAGCAAGAGACTTCACACGCTCCTCCTGTCCCCAGGCCCTGATTGGAAGGGAGGAGAGTGGCAGGGTGTCCGTGGGCCAGATCCAGCCCACAAAGGCCCCTTTGTCCACCCTGCTTTAGGCACTGCCCTCCGCAGGGGTGGTGGATAAGCAACATTACCCTAACAGGCGTTGTGACTCAGAGATACACTGTTGAGTCTCAAGTCCTTCCTTACTATCACCTTGCTCTGGGGCAGGGGTACAGCAGTTTGTGGATGGCCTATCTCAGCATTGCAAATACAAACCTGTTAAATGGGCTCAGCTGTTTTTTCCATTGCACGGAGGAGGGAAAAAAACAAAGGTCTAGAACAAAGGTCCAGCCCACTCCTCACTTTGCCCAGTCCTCTCTCCAACCACCTGCGATCGGGGATGGAGTAAACAGCGCCCTTCTATTCATACATGCCCACACTGAAAGTTCAGGCAGAAACCCGTCTATGGGCAGCACAGAAGCCAAACTCAGAGAGGAGCTCAAGAGGCTAACGCATCCTTCTTTCAGTCCTCTCTAAAACTGTTGAGCGACTCCTTTACGAGTTGTCTGCAAGTGTTCAGTGTATGGTGTCTCAGAAAGACATTCCAGGTCACTAGTCAGGGGTGTGGTCCCTGAGAAGGAAGGATGGTTCAGCAATTAGGGCACAAGCCTAAGACTTGGAAAATCTGGGTTCACAGATCTGCTCTGTCACAGACTTCCTGTGTGACTTTGGACAAGTTATGTGACTCTCTGGGCCTCAGTTCTCCATCTATAATATGAGGATAATTGCACATTCTGACCTAACAGGCCCATGGGGAGGATTAATATAGTGAGATGCTCTGACTGTAGGCACCTTTGAAATACTTTACTCAGATATCCAGCAGGTAGCATGTTAGCACTTACATACCTGGTCAGCTCCTGAAACGTGATCCCCTGTAGCCAGTAAGGCTCTGTGGCTGCATGGAAAGTCGAGCTAGAGTCCCAGAGCCTGACCTGGCAGATTTAAAGCTGTTTACTGTTATAGAGACACAGCTTGTATTTAGGAATCAAAACAGAAGATTTAAATTATATTAATTATGATATCAATTAGATTTCTTTCCAAGGGAGTAAGGACCACCAGTCATCGTTGGCACTGATTCATGACACCAAGGGCCAGTCTACACTTACAGTGATGCAGCTGCCTAGGGAAAATGCTCTTACACTGACAGGATAACTTCTCCCATCAGGATAGGGGCTCTACCGCCCCAAGAGATAATATTTACATGGATGGAAGAAGCCCTCCTTTCTTTGCAGCTCTGGGTACACTGGGCTCTAACTTGGCCAGTCTTACCCATAGGCAGAGAACGCAGCTGTGTAGGGCATCCAAACATTTGGGGCTCCACTGGCTCTTAATGTCCACTCACCCACTGCTTCCTATCCCTGTTCTGTGTCTCTATTCCTCCAGAGAAGAGCTAGATAATTTAAAGTGAAAAGGCTTGCCAGAGTTATGGGCAGAACACTGAACCTGTGAAACAGACACTCAAGTGGTAATGAAGTCATTTAACAGGCATTTGCCAATCCCAGGTATATACCATCAGTTTCTGAATTGACTCCGTTAGTTTACAGGACCTTCATTTAAAATTTATTTTAAAAATATTTTATTGGTGTATTGCTGAAGATTATAAAATCACATCTCTAAAAATCTTCTCCCCCCCCCCCCATTTCCTGGGCTGCCATTGGGTACATGGGCACCAGTTTAATAATACTGTGTAGGGCCCCATAAGCCCTAAGGACAGCCCTGGGCACTAGGGTTGCTCAGCACACTCCAAGGCTATGTCTATATTCGCAGCTTCTTGCGCAAGAACATCTTGCGCAAGTGTTCTTGTGCAAGAAGTCTTGCACAAGAAAACGTCCACACTGCCATGTGTGAGCTGTGCTTTTGCTCACAAGAGCCCATGGCAGTGTGGACGCTCTCTTGCACAAGAAAGCTCTGATGGCCATTTTAGCCATAGGGGTTTCTTGCGCAAGAAATCCCTGCTGAGCGTCCACACTGCCCTCTTGCGCAAGAGCCCCTGCACAAGAGAGCTTACACCTGTTAAAAAAGAGCGTAGTTCTTGCGCAAGGAGCCCCCTCTTACCACGCCGTACTGTAAATTTACTTGCGCAAGAGCGGGTGGGCAGTGTGGACGCTCTGCAGATTCTTGCGCAAGAACGGCCATACTTGTGCAAGAAGCGGTGAGTGTAGACATAGCCCAAGTGATGAAGCAGTTATACTGACATAAGTTCCAAGCTTGGATCAGTTTTCTCTCAGAGGCTTATGCTGGGATATAGATTTGTCTGTAGGACTTCATGATTAATATGGTGAGCTACCTCACTGAGAACAAGGAGAGGCTTTCTGTTGTAGTGCGTTCTATGTTGCCAGGTCACAGTAATAACTAGGAGCCTATTAAAGCTAGAAAAATGGAAATATAAGAATAGCCACCTGCTCACCTTCTCTCCTCAGGCTCTGGCAAAATAGCCATTTACACATGACAAACATTGGTAATCACCACTTCAAAGGTTAACGAAGTAAGAGCACTTACCTCAGGACATACATTCCAGCCCCTCATTAACAGTGATGATATGGGCTTGGGAATTGAATACCCTATTGGAGGCCGAATGTGATGATAGGCCATATCTGCTGCTGCTGCAGCTATAAATAAAACAGTATAAGAAAGCTTAATTATGGTTCAAGCATAAAAAATATTCACATGCCAACACATTTTACTTTGGTATTTGAATGAAAAACAGATCTGAACAGATGGAAATGCTTAAGTATTAAACTTGCAAATGGAGTGGTCAAAGAAGTTTTCCAAGCCATCAAAGTACTATTTTTAATGCATTAGGTTAAAACAACCAACAGCCCTGATAGATGCAAACACATTTCTGCCTGTGTTTAGCTTGGCTGAAAGTGATCTGATCCAGGTGCAAACCCTGAAACAACATCCTTTGAAAAAAACATCAGTTGACTGTCACCTCACACATGATATAATAATAAAGAGGGAAAGATTGAGCAACTTTCAATAACAGGCATTAGATGCATTTGATTTATAGAGAAATTGGTGCCGGATTCTGACTGCCTAAATAGCCTACACTGTGGTATGGCTGAAGACTTGAAATAATTCCAAGCATTCATGTAACGAAACCCAACCTGTGTGCCCTTTTATATATGCTAGTTATGATGGACAAAGAAAAAATTGCTATAATGTTCCCCTAACTGTGTTTATAGATACAGTGACTTTAAAAAAAACCCATAATTAATCCCACTGCATTCTTTTTAAACAGCTTAGATGTGGAAAGTCAAAGCAAATGTCTGCCAGCCTCATAGCAAGAGCTAAGTAAAATTCTTTGTTAAACTGACACTATTAAGTGATCCATCACTAGAGTATATAGCATCTGAGGGAGACCAGGAGATTGCAATCTTGAGATTGTAACAAGAATGGTTTAATTTTTTTTAACCATATCCCATTCTCATTACAGTCTTTGTCACAAGAACAGATTAATTTGTGCCATTGTCTGTTCTCATTGCAATCTTTGTCACTGTAATGAAGTCTCAGAATGTTAATATCAGATACAGTCTGTGAATCGTAGCTGCATGCAGTAGGGTGGGCAAGCACATTTTGCCTAATTTTGGTCCCATTCTAACACTGATTTGAAAGTGTGATTCAAACATTACTGGGTTCATGTTCTGCTTAGGAGAGACAGTGAATAGGAGCAGATGGGGAAAAAAGATGTTAATGAAAAATAAATATAACATACTGCTTATCTATTTATACAGAGTCTCCTCTTTTCCTATAATATATTACAGGAAGATTGTGCTCTGTATTAGGAATAGAAGGACACCCAAAAAGTTAGTTTGATTCAAGTGGACTATGCATGGTATGATATATACATGCACACACACACACAGTACTGTACTCTCTCTCTCTGTGCGTGTCTCATATATATACACACACACAATATATCACAACATACACACACGGGACAGTACGTGGTGCAGGGTCGACTGATCCCTACAGGAGGATGGGGATATAGGGCGGGCCACATAGAGGGCTGGAGAAGGGGGGTAGGGAGGGCCACCAAGAGTGGAAGGGAGGGGGCACTCCATTCAGACAATTAAAATTTTAGCAGGGACATAGGAGGGTAGTGCTCTTCTGGAGTGCTACCATGTGTGTGTATATAAACAGAAGTAGGTGCATGATGCAAAAAAGCATAAAAACTGCAATTTTTTGGACCTTACTTGACCCCATTTATCTATTTTCCACAGACATTAATAATAGGATGTTTTTGGTTTGGAAGAGTGTTAATAGGAAGAGAAACTGTCATAGAAATACTTGCATGAACCATTGTGAAGATGGACCCTTTGGAAGAGTTCTATAGAATTTTTTAACAATGAAAATATAATTTTCTATATAAGTTATATGAAATACCATAGATTTTAATAAGAAATAGTCCCCTTCCCATAAGTTACATGAACCATTTTAAAAAAATGATAAACAATGGGATATCGTAAGGAATTTTTTTTTACTGTAAAACTGAAGGAGAAATTGTATTGAAAAGTCAGCCTTCTGATAGGGAACAATGTTCACATTATTAAAATCTTATGACATATCAAAGATGTACACATTTGTTCTGAGACAGAGATGGAAATAGAAAACAGACTTGCTGAAATGGTGATGTAAAACCAGGGTGATGATAGGGGTCTGCTATAGACCACATAATCGGGAAGAAGAGGTGGATATCCCTTTAAAAAAAACAAAAACTAACAAAATCATCAAAAGCAAAGGACTTGATGGGGAACTTCAACGACCAAACATCTGTTGGGAAATAAATACAGTAGGCCACAGATTATCCAAAATGTTCTCAGAATGTATTGGAGACAGTTTTGTATTTTAGAAGAAATTAACTAGTAGAGAAAGCAGCTTCAATTGTTTTTCCTCTTAGTCTTACTTCCCATGGGACATTGCCTACCAATTCCCCGAGTTTACTAAAGTCTGCCTTCTTGAAATCCATTGTCTTTATTTTGCTGTTCTCTTCTACTATTCCTTAGAATCATGAATTCTATCATTTCACGATCACTTTTACCCAAGCTGTCTTCCACTTTCAAATTCTCAACCAGATATTTCTTAAAATCAGATCTAGAGCAGCCTCCCTCTACCTTCTGAAATAAAACAAAAATTGTCTCCAATATGTTCCGAGAACTTTCTGGATAATTTGTGCCCTGATGTGTTATTTTCCCAACAGATGTCTGAATAGTTAAAGTCCCCCATTACTATTAAGTTCTGTGCTTTGGATGATTTTGTTAGTTGTTTAGAAAAAGCCTCATCTACCTCTTCTTCCTGGTTACATAGTTTGTAATAGATCCCTAGCATGACATCACCGTTGTTTTTTATCCTTTTAACTTTACCCGGTACTCACAACAAATCTGTCTCCCATGTCCATCTCAATCTCAGGCAAAGTATATATATTATTACTACATACAGCAACACCTCCTCCCCTTTTTTTCCTTTTGTCAGGTTCTTAGAGCAGACATCACTTTAGTGCTCATTAAAAAGTAGCAAAGAGTGCATTTTCTGGTAATTCCTCAGTATAAGTATTACAGTTTTGTATTGTCTCACCTGTTTTGGGAATTGGTATGGTTGACAACCAATAGTTTTTCATTACTGGCCATGGGACATGCTGCATCTTTGCTATTTTAGAATTACATGATATGGTATTCAACAAATATTATATTTGACTTAATACTGAAATGATTTCACTGGGGATTCTATTTGATTCAATAGATGCACCATTTGATAAAATAAGTAGTGATTTTGATTCAATAACCATATAACTGTTTCTACAATCTGAAAAATGGATATCTATTTCTGTATACAGCAAACCCGTACTGAATTGGATAATATACTTGATTCACTAGGGCAGGGGTGGGGAACCTAAGGCCCAGGGGCCGGATGCAGCCCCCGGTTTGCCAATATCTGGCCCCCGAGACTCAGGCCCCCCCAGCCCTCCACGCTACCCCACCATAGGGCAGGAGCACACAAAAACTACTAGGCTGCTCCCTACCCCCAGGCTCAGGTGCTTGAAGGGAATGTGGAGAGTGTCTTTCTTCTCAGTCAGGGGCAATGTCAGGGAGGGTTTTTTTGTTTTTGCTGTTGTTTTGCTTCTCACCTGTGTGCAGCCCCTGAGTGATTTTTCTGTGGGTCAGGGGCCCCTAACCCTAAAAAGGTTCCTCACTCCTGCACTAGGAGATATAGAAGTGCTATTACTGCAAAGACAACATCCATTTTCAAAAGGTGATGCATAGATTTTACAAATGCTAAGTTTTTATAATTAGATATTTTTTTCAACATCTAACTATTCCATTGTACTTGACCTGAATAGCTTCCTATACTTCTGTGCCTATACAAAGGTCAATATTAGACAGAGAGTAGGTTAAGAATATATAAGTAAAGCTACAGGACTCCACAAACAGCATACAAAAATGGTTAAAAAGAAAATGTCCCTCTCATCATCTTAAAAAGTATATAGTTGGTGAAAAATAGGGATTTATGTTTTACATAAATACTCATTATCTGAACTTCGGCAACGAGGGTGGAATTTACACAAAGATATAAATGATGCCCCATTTCTACAATAGGCATTTACAAGATATGGCCCTAAATCAAATGTACACAATCAAGTTCAAACATAGTTTTCTTATTTAAATATACAATACAGAGCAATTTTTCACCTTTGCATCTGTCCAGATAAGGACAGATCATACACTCCACTCATTGAGGCCCTCTAACCCAAGCATAGGCTCTGAAGCCAAAACTTCTATTTGTCACTGCTCACGATGGTCCTACTAGCTCCAGCTCCACCCTTTCCACCTGCACATGCCTCTCCCCTTTCCTAGGGGTCTGGCAAGTTTCTCTGCATCCCTGAACCTGGGGATAATAAAATTCCCAACAGAGCAATTGGGAGCATTAATTAGTTGATGTGTTAAGGGTAATGATGATGGATGGATGGGATTTTAAAGTTCTCATTGACTTTAATGGGAGTAAAATTAGGCCAACACTTACTACTGAAAGGCCTTGTGGAAGCACACTTTAAAATGGGGTTCAAACACAAAGAGAAATATATTTTGGTTGGTAAGGAGGGAGTCATCAAAAAGAGATTATAGAAAGGGCACTGCCTCAGGAGCATACAGACAAAATAACATGGGACTAAAAATGGACCTCTGAGAAGCTGCAAGAACAGAAGCAGACACCAGCTCATCTAGATATTTGGGAATAAAAAGTGCCAGCGCAAAGACTACAGACAGGTAAGAAAAAGACTAAGGCCAGGTCTATATTACACCTGGAAGGTCAGTTTAAGGTATGCAGCTACAGCATTGAGTACCGGCATCAACCAGGGGCGCCCTCAGTGTTTGATTTAGCGGGTCCTTACTAGAACTGCTAAATCGAAAGCCAGAAGATCAATTTCCAGCGCAGTAAGATTTAGGTGTAGCCTAAATCATGACACCTTCCAGAAACATGGGTTTCATGTTTCCTTCTTTTGTCCTTCCTCCTGCAGGAAGGTATACTTCTCTATACCATTTTGTTGCTGTATTGTGCTCCAGCTTCAGTACAGTGGAGTATTGATGACATGCCTGGTATATCAGCTGTGCTGTCTTCACACATCTGGTATCTGATACAGCACACAAAGAGTTAACTCAAAATGAAATAGGATAAATGGCAGGCATGGTAATGTCATGCAACAGGAGATGAAGGTTTGGACTACGGGGCAGTGGAGCTTTGTCCCAGAGGGCATACTGGTCAGAAAACAAAGTAGTGCAATTGGTAGAAAGATAAAATGGAGGAATGAAATTCAGGTTAGGAACCTGGCATGACGATTAATGCTTGTATATTCCTAGAAACTGAAGTAGCAATGAGTCGGCTGTCTGACCGCTATATTCAAATGTATAGCTAATACAGTTTAGAAATTCGACATCATTTAATGAATTGGAATACCCCTACTTATTGATGTCAGTGACAGCTACACCATCTGTATAAGCGAAGTTGATTTTTTTGAACAGTGGGAAAACCTCCAAAGGATTGTAAAACTGGCATAATTGTGCAAAGAGCAGAAGAGAAATGAATCTGGATTTAATAAGATCTCAGAGGAAAGGGAACAGGGAAACTTTCTCCATCAGATACCAAAAATAATGCCAGACTCTAGGATCAATAAGTATAACTATAAATGTATCTGTTAAGGAGGAAAGTCGAATGAATGGTTGATGCCCAGGACAAGAAAGCCTAATTAAATAGGAATCAAAGGATTCCTGTTTACAATAGGGAATTATGGAGTTTTTATATGTGGCTAGACTGCTAGAGAAGAAACAGACACAAGAAAAAGAAAAGGAGGCATTAGTGTCTGAGTTAATTCACTTAGCAAGGAATCTTCTCTCCCCAGCTCCAATGAATTCCATTTCAGTTCAGAATGCTTCCCTCTAGCTCTCTCCACTTCTTAAGCTTGATATTAGAGCTGAAATTCACCCTTGTGCGGTAGGGCAGCCGAAACCCTCTGGCTACCTCCAGACTGCATCGCTCTGTCGGCAGAGGGATGCAAATAAAGCACTTCAAAAGTGCAAATTAGCCCGGGATTTAAATATCCTGGGCTTCATTTGCATACTTACATTCCGGCGCTGTGTCTATCATGCACCATTTCGAAAGTGAAAGTGCTGTGTAGCCGCGGTTCTGCCGACAGCGGGGAGCTTTTTCGACAGATCCTGTACTCCTCATTTTTTGAGGTTTATAGCATAGTACAAATGGCCCAAAGGGAGGAACAGGAGTGAAGCCTGCAGGTGAGCACGTCCCTGCGCTGATGTCCCCCAGCCAAGGGGAAGGGAAACAGTAGCATGCAGAGCTGCTTCCTCCCTCTGCCAGGCAGCGTGACAAAGCAGGATCCTGAGCACCAGCTCCCTGATTCTTCCCCCCACAATGGGAAGCCAGTGCTCATGCTTCAGCCCTGAGGGAGGGGGCATCAAGGCTCAGAGACTTGACACAGGGCTTGCCCCACTGCAGAGAGGGGGAGGCCGCAGGCAGGTGGGCTGCATCAAGGCAAGCCAGGGGACCAGCCCGAAGGTTTCCCAACCCTGTTTTATAGCCTTGTGTTCATAACACACAGCACAACACTGGAGAGCAGTGCAGGATTGCTGGCTCATAGGTTTTCAGGGCAGTTGAAAAGTCTCTAGAAACCTAGTAGGTTGTCCATGGAGCAATGGGATTGAGAAACCTGCATCATGTAATGCTGAGTCTGTCCCTGTGAGGCACTGGAAACTAATCTCAAAAACAGCCTGCATCCAGTTGCACTGTAGGATGGCTACCCATGGTGCATTGCTCTCTGTTGATGCAAGAGATGCTTGCACATGACTACTCGGGATGTAAAATTTTGATTAATTGGCTAATTAATTGGCTCCAGGGTTGTTGCTCCACTTCAAAGGCAAAAACACTGCGGGGAGCACAGGGCCAGCATGGGACTCAAGTAGTCCCATGCTAGACCTATGCTCCTCGCAGAGTTTCAAAGCAGCAGCAACACATGGAGCCTGGGTTACCCCTCCTTACCCCTGGCTCCATGCGGTGCTGGCTCTTTGAAATGCTGCATGCATCCCAGGCCATCTGGGAACTCTCAGATGGCCCTGGGCCACATGTGGCATTTCAAAGCAGCAGCTGCATGGAGCCCAGAGGGCTCCATGCAATGACGCTGCTTTGAAGCACAACCTTCTCTTTCCCGCCCTTGCTGCCTCTTTCTGATAAGGGAGGGCGTGAGAAGCGACTAGTTGACTAGTCGACTAGTCGTTCGTATCCCTAATGCCTACATGACACAAGGAGCATTGTGTGGACATGCAACAGCGATTTAGTTACAGCAATGGCTGTCCATCAATGTAACTTAAATCAGCTTAACTCTGTGGTATAGCTACAGCTATCATTAATAGACTTGAGAGGTGCACTGCACTTGTGCAGGGTCTATGCCCTTTAGTGAATTTCACCCTCAGAGCTGAAACAGAATTTAACTGGTATGGAAAGCTTTTCATGAATGCTCTGTGCAGTGGTGAATTTCATCCAGAGGAAGCAGAGTTAAATAACAATGTGTAAGGCCACCTGAAAGTGGTTAATATTATAGAGCATCAAGAACATGAAGGCAAGAAACAAATAAATCTATCACTCCATATGAGTATATCTACACTGCCACATTATTCCAAAATAACTATGCGAGCATCTACACAGGTAGCCCGTTATTTTGAAATAATTTTGAAATAACGAGTGGCTTATTTCATTTTTTTTAAAACCTTATTCCATGAGGAATAACACTTCTTCCAAAGCTCCACTGCTGCTATTTCAAAATAGCTCCTCCCCAAGACCATTCAAAGTATAGAATCATAGAATCATAGAATAATAGGACTGGAAGGGACCTCAAGAGGTCATCGAGTCCAGCCCTCCGCCCTCAAGGCAGGACCAAGCTCCACCTACACCATCCCTGACAGATGTCTATCTAACCTGTTCTTAAATATCTCCAGAGAGGGATTTGACCACTCTGACAGTTAGGAATTTTTTCCTAATGTCCAATCTAAACCTCCCCTGCTGCACTTTAAGCCCATTACTCCTTGTTCTGTCCTCAGAAACCAAGAGGAACAAATTTTCTCCTTCCTCCTTGTGACACCCTTTTAGATATTTGAAAACCGCTATCATGTCCCCTCTTAATCTTCTTTTTTCCAAACTAAACAAGCCCAGTTCATAACTGTTTGTAGTTATCTAGGGTGATGGTTTTGTTAACATGTTACTTAATGCTACATACAACATAATACATGTAATAAATATTTGTTTTAACAATGCAGGGATGAAATTAATTCAATAAGTCATTTATGACTTTTAATTTAGTATTAGAATTATTTATTTTATAAATTAATTGAACCATTGAGGAGATCCTGATACAACAATAATAGGTACCTGAGAAATAAGATAGACAGACAGATAGATAATTGTGTAACATTGTTTATAGTTATATTTGATAGATAATTGTATCCCACTGTTTGTAGTTATATTTGATAGGTAATTGTATAAAATTGTTCATATTTATATTCTATTCGATAAATAATTCAATACAGTACAAGGGAAAATTACTTTTTTCTACAACAAAATTTCATACACAGACCAGTCTTCTTCCCTCTAGTAAGAAAGTCATTTGAAGTCCCTGTGTCTCATAGATGTTGCAGGTATCACTGCTCTTGTACTAACTACCACCCTATCCCTCCACTTTCAACTACAAGAAAAAAAACACTCTAAACTTCTATGGCTTTACAGTCTCTGGAGTCACATTCTTTCATTCCCCAAAATAGCACCCAAATCCAGAAGCACACTCAATTTCCTATGTTTCCTGGTACCTTTACAAGGAAGAATTTTAGGTGACTACTGCACAATATGAATTCTAGTAGAATGCAGGTTAATGCTATGAAATGCAGCTACTGTATTACAGTTCAAAGATGTGAGTAGTGTTCATGTTCGTTCAGTGAACATCTTACCTGGTTTGAGGTGAGCAAATGGAATTTCACCTGTTAACAGTTCCCAGAGACACAAAGCATAGCTGAAAACATCAGCTTTTATAGTGTATCGAGTGCACTGAGTGAATACCTCAGGGGCCATCCAGCGTAGATTCTGCACATAAAAAAAACCCTATCAATAATACGTTAATGGAGTGTTTTGTTCCTTTGCAGAGGAACATATCTTTCCCTCTGTTTTCCCTCCCTCCCTTCCTCCATTCACAACAAGCTAACAGATAAATCTTCTAATGACAAATAGTCACAGTTCCATACAAAACTCATGCAGTAAATCACCATACATTATACTGTGTCTTCAGCATTAGAATGGAATTCATTTCACCTGCATAAAGCTAGCATAATCAGGCTTTAAGTAAGAAAAGAGTAGGGTTGAGACTGGAGCAGGAGTAGAAATCCACATTTCCAGTCTGAGACCAGGGTACAGAGCTTAGCATGTCTAATTCCTTTTATCTACTGCTTCAATTTAAAAGCTGGAATAATGGCAATGACAACTGTGCAGGGTAATAACACTATTGGATCTATGCATATATTAATCCTTTGGTTTCTCTCCTGAACTATCATCTCATTCTGCAGGCACCCATCTATGTAGCTGTTATACAAACAACCTGCCACTCACTGGGCTCTTGAAGCATGGTGAGTCTTAGTGTGTCTACATAGCACCCTTACCTTGAAATAAGCTACGCAATTTGTGCTGCACAAATTGGGTAGCTTATTTTGATGTTATTTCAAAACAGCTTATTTCATAGTTTGGAGCTGTCTACACAGCACCAAATTTCAAAATAACTCACTATTCCGAAATTCCCCTTAACCCTCGTGGAACGAGAGTTACCAGGATGTTGGAATAAGACACCTATTATTTCAAAATCTATTTCAAATTAATGGGCTGCTTCAATAGATGCGGAATAGCTATTTTGGAATACCATTTGTTCAAGAACTCCGCAGTGTAGACAAATCCTTATTCCGGTCCTCTACTCCAGAGTGAATTTCATCCATAGTTCTTAGATGACCAAGATGTTCATGTTTCTTTGTGAAACATCGTTCTGGATCAAACAGCCACCAAATCTGCATTGACAGCCATCATGTCTCCCTCTTGTATGGTTGGTTTGTATTGCTTAATAGGATGACATTATTTCTAACACTGCAGTCTACTCTATTCCAGAGTAATGGATTCTGATGCTGCAATGTATCATTTATGTATTGTTACCATTTTTTTTAATACAAAAGGAGGAGGAAATGGTTTGGGCTACATTTTATAAAATGTATGTTCAAAAGCACCAGTCAGCATTTGGGCATTATCTTTTAAAACTTTGGGTCCATGTGAGTAATTTATGTGAAAAAGAACTCAGAAAGAAAATCCATGTTGGATAATGGAGTCCCCATCAGAAATTCAGTCTATCGGGCTAAGTCTACGCTATGAAATTATTTTGAAATAATAACTCCTGAAATAACTATTTCAAAATAGAGCAGTCATACAACAAGGCACCATAGAAATAGTGCAGATTTATATCAAAATAGTGCAGCTACACTGATTGAAGCCTGAATCGCATTTGAAGCACTCCAGGAAAGAAAGCAGGAGAACAGTCACTTCCTGTAGCTGCTTTCTGGGGCTAGCTGAGAATTGTGTTTAAAGGGGGCTCCTCTCTACATCTGCATCTTTCATGCCTCTTCTGTACTGCTTACCCCTTCGGCAGACAGCAAAAACACGCTGCACGCTCTGGTTGCCCTTGTGTATGCCACAGTACTTCCAAAGCAGTGCCGGGTTCTTTGGCCTCCTGCTTCATTTCATGGTACAGTTCATGTAGACTGTCCATATGGTGCTGCACGAGCACGAGGACCAGCCTGGACTGGGGGACCTTCCCAACCAGGCCCAGGTCCTCATGATGCACCAAATTCCCTTCCATCCTCCCCTGCACACCGTGCAACATCGCATCTGGTGGCGGAAGACCAGTTCTGACCAGTGAGACCAAATCATCACTGAGTGGTGGGATGATCAGCAGTGGCTCCAGAACTTTTGCATGCGGAAGGATACCTCTCTAGAGCTCTATGAATGGCTTGCCCTTGCCCTCTAGCAATGGGACACCTGGATGAGATTCACCATCCCCCTGCAGAAGCACGTTGCCATTGCACTTTGGAAGCTCGCCACGCCGAACAGCTACCACTCCATTGGGAACCAGTTTGGCATGGAGAGATCAACAGTCAGGGCCGAACTCATGCAGGTCTGACTCTTTTACTATGTTACTAGGAGGGTGGTGAAGCACTGCAATGAGTTCCCTAAGCAAGTGTAGAATTTCCATTCCCAGAAATTTTTCAATCTTGGTTTGACAAAGTCCTGCCTGGGATGGTTTAGTTGGGGTTGGTCCTGCTTGGGAAGGGGCTTGGACTTAATGACTCCCCAAGGGCTCTTGCAACCCTGTGATTCTCTTGCAACCCTGTGATTCTATATTCTGATGATTTTATAGGTAGTGAAAGCCATCAATGCCATCCTGCTGCAGAGGGTAATCACCCTGGGCAACAGGGACCCCGTCGTTACTGGCTTTGCTGCCTTAGGATTCCCCAACATTGGGGGGCATTGACAGCACCCACACCTGCATCATGGCCCCCAACCACTGTGCCTCTGAATATATAAATAGAAAGGGGTACTTTTTAATCGTGCTGCAGGCCCTCATGGACCGCCAAAGCCAGTTCACGGACACTTATGTCAGGTGGTTGGGGAAGGCACATGATGCCCACATCTTCCAGAACTCTTGTGTCTTCCAAAAGATGCACACCGGCACTTTTTTCCCTGACCACACCCTCAGGCTCAGGGAAGTGGACATACCCATGTGCATCCTGGGCAACACAGTCTACAGTTTGCTCCCCTGGCTTATGAAGCCCTACACAGTAATCCTGGACTCCACTAAAGAGACCTTTAACACCAGGCTCAGCAAGTGCCACATAGTTGTGGAGGGTGCCTTCAGCTGCCTCAAGAGGAGATTCTGGAGTCTCCTCACCCACCTGGACCTCGACAACCAAACATCCCCCAGGTGGTGGCAGCCTACTGTGTGCTCCACAACATTCATGAGAGCAAGGGGGAGACTTTCCTACCAGGCAGGGGGCAGAGCATCTAAGCAGGGCTTTTGAGCATCTAGGCATTGCTGTCATTTAGCGAGCCCATCGGGGGCTGTGCTCATCTGGGAGGCCTTGAGGGAGAGTTTCAACCACCAAGGTCACCAATGAGACTCTCTCCCAGGCTTCCTCACAAAGGGCCTCTGCATTGCCCGTGTGTGGTTTTCCTCCTCCACTCTTCCCTCCCCCCTTCCCACCGTCCCTGAAGACCAAATAAAGAAGTCTCTTTTGTGTGAAAACACAACTGCATTTTTTATTTGGGGAATATATAACAGGGGATGGAGTGAGGAAAGAGCCTGGGAGGGGGATAGTGGGATTGGGTAGTTTGGCTTCCTTCTATGTTCTGCACATTCTGGGTCCAGCAGTGGGAGTGTCCCGCAGAGAGAGAACTTCTATCCCTGCTTGCTGGAGAAGACAGGGGGAGTATTGGGGGGAGAGGGCATGACAGCAGCAGAGGCCGCTTTCTGGGAAGAATGCTACTGGGGTCCTGTGACAGAGCATCTGCCCTGCACTGGCCCTTTAAGGGCAAAAACCCAGCTTGGAGTGAGGGCTGAGAACCAAGCCCAGCAGAGGCAGTTATGGCTAATTAGGGGCCAGCTGGGGGTTATATAAAGAAGGGCTCCCAGAGAGAGAGAGAGGAGGATTCACTCTTGCTCTGACTGATGAGCAGGAGGGGCCTGGCTGCCTGGGAAGCAGGATGCTTCCTGGAGGTAGACCAGTGCTGGGGAAAGGCAGGCAGAGCTGGGGAGCTCTGGCCTGACTTCACTCCTATAAGACCGCTGTAAGGCCTGAGGTAAGGCTTGAGAGTACTAGGGCTGCAGTAGGACTTTGTTCCCTGGCTTTTGTGTAGCCCTGCCACAGTTCTTTTATTTTCATGCATACCTGGTCCTGGGCCAGGTGCCCCTTCTGGACCAGGCTGGTGGCTATCCAGCCATACACATCTGCATTTTACCTTCTGGTGTGGGGATCCTGGAGGTTTGTCTCCTCACCCCAGACTTCAAGGATCTCTGCATCAGTCCAGGCCAGTGACCTCTTTCACCCCTGGCCAGGGGCTTCAAATGTGGCTTCAGGTGTGCTTGCAGTCAGGGGAGGACTCAGAGGGAGCGCTGGGACCATTCATGGCACAGAAGGAGGCTACTGTGTGGCACGGGGATGGCAGAGCTTGTGTGGTGCCACAAGCCCTCTCCCTTCTGCCTGCAGCTTTAAAGACTGCAGGAGAATGGGAGCATTGGAGTTGTCAGGTGTGTATCTAGAGTAGCTACAAGGGCAGCTGTGAGTGGTCTCTGGAGGCCAATTATTTCAAAATAACAGCAGCTGAGCATCCACACTAACGCTATTTCAAACAGCCATTTCAAAGTAGGCATTATTCCTCATCACGAGCAGGGGTTATTATTTTGAAATAAAAAGCCCATTATTTTGAAATAATTTCAAAACAACAGGCTTACTATGTGGACGCTCACCTTATTATGTCAAAATAACGGGAATTATTTTGAAATAACTCCCAAGTGTAGACGTGCCCTCAGACACTGTATTGCACTATATGTGCAATGATTTGCAATTTTGTGTCTAAGAATTCAGAGGTGATGGTGCTAAAATGAGAATCATATAACTACTTTGTTTTTTTGGGTACACAGTAGGGAGCCTACTGTGAGTGCATAGTATGCATATTTAGTACCCAATAATCTCTGCTATTATAAAGGCTGATCTCAAGTACTGAGAAAAAAATAGCATACAAAAGAAACAAAGCATTACACTGTCACTGTACAACATGATCCATTCCAGAAAAAAAATCTAATCTCATCATTCTCTCCTAGGCTGAGTTTGCACATAAACATTGTACTAATTAAATAGAACAGAACAAGAAGCAAACCCCAGGTTGCTTTGTCATGTTGTCTTCATCCAGGGACTGCAGAAATCTAGATTCTGAGGGGGGAAAAAAAGGGAGGAAAGCTTTTGACATAAACAGCACTACAATTAAACTTCATTTTACAGAAATCATGGTGGAAACTGAACACTGCTATAAAATAGGAGTTTTGTAAAATCAAGCAGAAATACAATATCTCATT